ACCATCCCTATCTATACCCACCCCCCAACCCTATTTCACTCCAAACCCTGGCTAATTCATTTTCTTCTTCCTTCTCTCTATATCCTCTCCATTCTCTCTCTACAACGTCGCTTGTCGTTGTGAGCGTCGGCGCAGCAAGCGTAGTAGTAGGCGCTGTGAGCATATGTTAAATACTACTGATCACGTGTTCATTTGTACATGTCACATGTCCCTTATTACAAGTCATAATTTCGTTGTCAAAGTTCAACGTGCACTTGCTACGTGTCACATGTCAAAAGTCTTTGCGCAATTGTCGAGGTCACTGATTTATGTTCACATGTCACATGTATCAATTCATAGGTCACAGATCATTGTACATAAGTCACAAATCAATATCTACATGTCATGGATCAATTATATATGGGGTTACATTTCAAGTTCACATGTCATGGTGCATAAGTAACAAATCGATGCCCACGAGTCACAGATACAAGAGAACTGGTCATGGGCAATTAGATCAATATCACAGGTAACAGTTTACAGATCACATGTAACAGTTTACAGGTCATATGCATTAAGGGATTAAGTATTGTACATATCATGTCACAAAGATAGAGTTCATGCACTAATAAGCTTTAAGCAATTGCGATGTAAATTATGACATCTTAGTTATTGAAACAACTCACAAACATAAAATAGGATCACATTGAATCACATACCCATGACAAAGGAGTTATTCAATTTCTATCACAACAACTCGCAATTGGAGCTTCAACACTATTTCGTGAATACAAAAATAGGAAGATCAAGCAATAATACAATGTTATCTGCCACCAATTGTGACTTCGAAACCCTTCAAACCTATTTCAAAATTATTACCAAGTTCAATTCGCTGCTTCTATTATCACCACTATTTGTGACCGTTGCCTTTCAAAAAAATTTCTCTACTGTGCCGATAATTTCAAAATTACAACCTCAATAGTAAGACGATTTTCAATGAGTCAGACTTCGTTGATGGAAATGGAGATTATTTGCTCTGGAAAGTTCTTTGTAACTTTTTCTTTTGGTTCAATCTTCACAATTAGTTAAAATGGAGAATCATGTTTGGAAAGAAAACATGTCGTAACTGAATGCTTAATTTTAGGATGGATATTTATTAGAATCTATATATATATCACCTTGCTTTTGAATGTTTAAAGCTTATTTTTTTAAAATTGAAATGGCAAATACCTTATGTATTGTTCCTTTTTTTTTTTTTTAATTAACTTAGAATGTAATCTAATGTTCACACACACCAAAGTTACGTGGTTATTCGCACTCGGTTGGAAGCTCGGCCCAACATGGATCTGTGGCCCACTTGTATTGAATTCAGGCCCAAACTTTAAAACTAGATTATTACAAGGGAAGAATACATAAATCATGCTTTTACTTTTACACATTTCAAAAAT